TGACGCTACAAGTGATGTCAAGTCCTAAATAAATTTACAATAATCCCAGGTCATTCCCCCAAGATCCACCTGTCTTTTTGCACAAGTCAAATAAGTAAATTAGGGGCACCTGGGTGGCTCAGTCAGTTGAGCATCTGACTTCAGCTCAGGTCATGATCTCACAGTTCGTGGGCTCAAGCCTTGCATCAGGCTCTGTGCTGACAGCCCAGAGCCTGGAGCCTGCTTTGGATGCTCTGTCTCCCTCTCTGTCCCTCCCTGACTCACACTGTCTCTGTCTCTCCCAAAAATAAACATTAAAAAAAATTTTTTTTAAATGAGTAAACTAGAGGGATATGATAGAATAACAGGACTCCTATCTATGACTTTCAAGATACTGCTGTGGCACTAATCTCTAGAATCCCTTGAATATGGCATTTCTTTTGTTTTTCTATTTTGGTACATACAAGGCAGTTACGGTGTTTATTTGTCCTTTCTTACCAAAATAGCCTTTGTCTCATGGGTGAGGCAACCAATGTGAGAATTCTGCCAGTGGTTGGGTATTTCTATTGCAATTCAGCATTCTGGAACTTGGGAAATAACCATACAATGGGCTCCATTACATATGCACCTGAGCAAAAGTTAGGTTATTATTTGTTGTTTATAAGCCCCAACTACTAACTGGTGGGCACAATGCACTTGAAGTTCCAGGAATTAATGTCATGTCTACCGTCCAGTAATCTCTCCGTATTCTACTTATTTCCACTTATCTAATGCAAAACTTCCATAAATATGGCTGCAAGTCACTTTGAAGAAGTCTAGAACAATTTATGGTATATACTTTTGGCAGTATATCAGATGCTTTCCTCAAGGGAACCTGGCCTGTTCTTTAAGATGCTCTGGAAATGGGAATGGACTCACTCACCAAGACTGCCAATGCTCCCCTCACCAATGAACTTCTTAAATCTTTGGCAAAGGCAGTGTTCTTTAAACCCTCCCAGGGCACATAGAGGGTTACGTTGAGCGGGTCTTGCATGACAAATTCACTTCAGCAGTCTGACATTCCCATGTTTTTGTATACCTTCTACAGCAGTTCTTAGCTGGGGACAATTTTGTCCCCCACCCTGGGGCATTTGGCAGTGTCCTGAGACATTTCCTATTGTTATAGCTGTTGGGGGGGGGGTGCAACTGGCATCTAGTGGGTAGAGGCCAGAGATGCTGCTGCAGAGATGCTACAATGCACAGGACAGCCCCCAACACCAAAGAGCTATCCAGTCCAAAATGTCAGTTGTGTCAAGGTTGAGAAAATATTTTACAACATACTTATAAAGTTCTAGCATTTTGACTTTAGTGTATATAGGATAACTTTAGGTTCAGGTTTTAGTCATTTTACTGAACTGAAGGCATTCACAGATGCTCAGTCTGAAATTGATGTTCAGTGCACTCATATCAACAAATCCACCCTACTCCAATATTATATTACTTCCACCTGATTCCATACCCTTAAGACCCACAACCATATAGATTTCTTAGGTTTCTATTGATACAAATTATATAAAAATATTTTGGCAAGGTATAGTGTCTCCTCATGGTTATACTTTATACCTGATGGCTCCCTCCACCCCCACTACTTTCCCCTTCCCTGCAAGGATTTAGTCATGATTAACAGGTCTAGAAAAATGAGAGGCAGTAGAGAAAAGTCTTAAGGATCTAGTTTCCTGCAAGGAACCCATCTTGGGGGAGATCATAACAGGTTCTTCAGGCAAGAAAAAAATACATCAGAAGAGAGAAAAAGGCTTCCTTCTAATGGCAAAGGAGGCTCACCTAAGTTTAAAGATCAAAGGCCTCCGTTTTTTTTGGAATCTACCCATATATTTCTTCCTCAATTTTTCAGGATTCTAGTCCTTCCCTTTGATGCTCTGTACCATAAGAGAATCTACAAGTTTGTGAATCGATGTGTTATCATTCAGCTGCTTACTGAATTTGACTTTGGGTCTCCTTTTTGTTGAAAGAAAAGAAAAGAAAAGAAAAAAGAGAAGAGAAGAGAAGAGAAGAGAAGAGAAGAGAAGAGAAGAGAAGAGAA